GGGAAGGAGGGGAGACGGTGGTCTGCGGAGGCGCAGACGGTACTGCGACAGAGGGCTGAGTACACTCTGTCGAGTCCTACGATACCTCAACTCCAATAGCGAGAGGGGCGAACCGCGACGGAGATGTCTGGAAGCCCACTACTTAGGAGGGTGCAGGTGCACACTGCACCGTGGCTAGGAGGCGCCGCGGGGACGTGAGGCGCCGGGGGGGGACTGAGCACGACGCTGACGAGAAAGATCAGCGTAGTGGCGGTCGAGGGCGGTAGTGTAAGGGCACCGCGAGGAGGTATGACCGTCCAAGCGGAAGTGCAAACACCCACGTCGGCCTAGAATAGCCGCGCGCTCCTCAGTGGAAAGGACACCGCGAGGAGGGACGAAGCCCTGAGGGAGGTCCTCCTGAGGGACCTCGGGGGGGGACGCGCCAGCGTGACCGGGGCGGCTGCGTGCCCGAGAGAGGGCGGAGAGCGAGAGCTGAAGGCGCTCAGCTGCAGGGAGGRTAGAGTCCTCCAAGTGATAGTGGACGGCCTCGCAGAGATCGAGGTCGTCGTTGTGGTCGCCCTCAGGTGACAGTGGGGCAACAACGTCCTGCTCACCATACTCCAGCGCGCTGAAGCGGCGCGAGAAGTGGCGGCCGTGCTGCGTGGATCGGCGGGGGCGACTGCGGAAAGGGGAACGGCGCTGGGAAGTGTTGTGAGAGGAGGAGGCGGCGTAGCCCGTGCGCTGGGGCTGGGAGGAGGAGGCGGGGTGAAGACGGGCTCGCATCCGCTGATGGTCCCTGGCGGCCTCGTAAGCCTGTGGGGCCGATGTGAACTCGTACCGCCATAGCTCGGAGCGGTACTCGAGCAGGAGGCTGGCCAAGAAACGATCGATAAGGGCAGCCTCGGGAAGGAACGCCACGTCACAAACGAGACGGGCATCCTGAAAGACCTGGATGTGGCGATCCAGGCCGGCAGCGCCACCAGAGCCGGACCAGCGTGTAGTGACGACACGCTCGAAGGCGTCAGTCACGTCATATCAGGTTCCGAAGCGATCCGCGAGGAACGCCTGGAAATCCATGAAGGTCGGAGTCCAACCCTCACGCAGGGAGTAAGCATATAAATCCTCTCAGGCGTCGAAAGGAGCACTATGCAGGCGTGTGGAGAGGTGACCCACCCATGTGTCGGGTGTGGCGCCTATGAGCTGGAGCGTGCGGGTGGCAGCCTGCAGCCACCTAGACACACGTATGCCTGTACCGTCATACAAGGGGATGTCCGACGAGCGGATGAGTGGTGTGCCACCGTTTTGGCGGCGAGGGGAACGGGAAGCAGGGGCCTGCGCTACGGCGGAATAAGTCGGCGCAGGTCCTGGAGGAGGAGGAGGCGCAGCTGACTGTACGCCCGGGCCGCATGGTGGAGCGGCGGGGGAAGCAGCGGCAGGCTGCACGGGAGTTGCGGTAGAAGAGGTCGCGGCGACCAAGGGGATGGGGAGGAGGTAGGATGGAGATTGGTAGGGTGCAGGGCGAGGGAAACGAGCCTGCATGGAAGGAAGAATAGAGGAAGAAAGGGGTGCACCGGAAGGCGCGGCCACCTGTGAGGGTGGGGGTGGTTGAAGGCGTGAGAGGGCGAGGTTGGTCCGGAGCCGGGCGATCTCGTCCTCGAGACTTCGAACGTAGGTCGAGCGAGGTGTGGCGGGGGGAGACGCACGAGCGGCGKGAGGCATCCCACAAGGGGAAGAGCCAGATGGCGTTGCGGTCGTGCGAAGAGGGGGGAGAAGTGGGGCACCCAGAAAAGCTGAGACCATGGTAGCGGGTTGTGGTCCCATGGCCGTCGTGACCGGAATCTGAGCAGGTGCGCCCGTGGACTGAGGGAGGGCCTGACTCGTGGCGGTCGTCGTGCTAGGTGCGTGGACGGTCACCAAGATGGCCGGGTCGGGGGCAGCGGAGGAGGAAGCTTCACCGTGGCCACCCTGTCCGAAGGCGGGGGACCCGGACTGGGAGCCAGGAGAAGAGGTAGGGTGAGGAGAGGAAGGACGACCAGCGTCTTGGAGTTGCCGCACGCCGGCGGCAAGGGTCGCCACCTGCGCTTGTAAGGGCGCGAGGGTCGCGAGTTGCGCCTGGATGGGCATCAGGAAGGAGGTGAGGAGGGTGTGCAGATCCCCCTCAGGCTAATGGCCCTGGTCCGCCGGCACGGGTGTGGAGCCCGATGCCGTGGTCATCGCCATATCGGCGGCGTGTGACACACCGTCTGCCATGGGGAGATGACGGACCGGACTGGAGGGGGCCTGAAGAGGTCCGCGTGAGCGGAGGGCGTAGGGGGAAGTCCGCGGTAGAAAGCGGCGAACGGCGCTAGCAAGGCTAGCGCGGGCGCCGTCAAAGGGGGAGGGGTGGTTCGGGTCCAGGGTGCCCGAAGAGGATGGGGAAGTAGGGGGGGTTTTAGGAACCCTAAACCCTACAAAAACCCTAAGAAAAACCCTAACCGAGGCTTAAGTGGTTAGGGTAGGGTACCGGTGACCTAATCAAGAAAGTAAAAGAGAAAGCATAAGGGGGGGGGAGGCGGGAGAAAAATAAATAAACAGCGAGATTTCGAGAGAAAATAAAAATAAATAAGGAAATAAATAAATAATAAAAATCATTAAAGAAATAAGTAAAATGATGGAAAGGGAAAACAATATTATTTTTTTTTTGAAAATTTCGGCAACATTTCCCTACCCCCCACGGGGTCAAGAATGTGCCAAGGGAAAAGGAGAGACCAAGGTGAGCACACTAGAGATGCCGAAAATAATAAAAAGAAATTTCAAGAAATAAATAAAAAAATAATAAATAAATAAATAAATAAATGTGTGAGGAGATGGGGAGAAATGGGTTATCTGATTTTTCAAAAATTTTGGCAGCATTTCGTTACCCCCATGGGGTCAAAGTGTGCCGAAAAGACTAAGCAAGAGAAGATCAGAAAATTTCGGCAGCACTTCGTTACCCCCACGGGGTCAAAACGTGTGCCGAAAGCAAGAAAGGCT